CCCCCCCAACCGAAGGGAGACCCGCCGGGTGGCAGGGGGCGGGGAGGTGGGCGGTGAGCGGTGCGGGGCGCTCAGACAATGGGGTCGCCTGGCAGAGGCCCTGGGCTCGCGGAAAGTCGCAGTCTGCCGCGCTTCCCTTGGGGGGTGGGCCCGGGTGGGCCCTCCCTCGTCTCTCCACTGGCGGCTCCCAAGGTGGCCGACCCTGGGGTTTTCCTGGAGGTTAAAGCGGACTGGGAACCCCGAAGTTAGGGTTCTCGAGAGACCCGGACGCCTGCTTTCTCCCTCACTAGGGCGCGCGCAATTGTTCCCTATTTCCAAGGTCCAGGGTTTCCGGTTCTCCGCCGCTGGCTTCTGCCCGGAGCCGCCACGAGCAATCCGCCACTTTGTAGGGAGCCACATCGGATAAGGCCAGCGCGGAAACTGCGAGGCGGAGCGTCTGGGAGCCCGGAGAACAGTGTGCGCTGGTCGGCCCGGACACCTGGCTCCGGCCGCCGGTCCCAAGCCTCAGGCCCTCTGCAGGCGGGAGCGAAGTTAGCCTCTTTAAGAGATCAATTAAACTGGAGAGACCACGGAATAGAATTGGGCTGTGATACTAAAATCAATAGGAGTAATTTAATATCTGCCCTGCTTTTTATGAAATATTTATCCCAATAATCTTAGTTAAAATGTTTAGATCTTCCTGATCCCCACCGAGACTGAAATCTATCTTGCAATTAGAAGTTGGAAGTTAGAGGTGATGGAGGGTAGAAGTGTTTATTCTGCGTGTGTGCGTGTGTGTGTGTGTGTGTGTGTGTGTGTGTTCCTTTCTAAAGTGTAAGCAGAGAAAGAGAGGGAAAGCCTTTAATTTTCTTTGCCATAAAATAGCACGAAATAATTCTGCTAGCCGACCAGCATTCTTAGGAGAAAGAAAAAAAGAACTTTCGTTGAAGTGGCCCTGAGATCGCTATTAAATCTAAATAAAATTAAGCACGTTGTATAAAAATGTCTCCCCCCCCCACACACACACAAAAGAAAGTGTTTATCGCCCAAGTCTGTCTAGCGTTTGCTAAATTGCGCATGAAATCTGAAATGAAATAAACGTTATAATAAAACCAACCCCTGAGCCCTTTTTATTTAAAAACCTCAGATTAAGCACTCCACCACTGCGGGCGCGAGTTTGGAAGTTGCCATGTCGTCTCCGAGTGAAGACATTGCTCCCTGGGCTCTCTCCGGAGCTGCTGCAAGGCTGGGAAGTGGGGGGCAGGACACAAGGTCTACGGGGACTTCCTGGGAACCCCGCCACGTGTACACCCACGAATGCAAACAAACAATAAAACCAAACAACTTTAAAATTTAGGAAGCATCCAAGCCCCTCTAGAGTCCACAGCTATTTTTTTTTCTTTTTGAAATTAAAAATGAAAATTACCCCCACCAAAACTGGGGTCCATAAATAAGCATTGGGAAGAAGTGTTTGTACAGGGCGGTGGAGTTTTAAAAGGATTTTTCTGCAGGATCAGGTTGTTGGTCTGTGATTAAATATTGATTTTGTGTAATTAGTTTTCATGTGAACTATCCTCTTGCTGATAGCTTAGAGGTTTCAGAACTAGAAAAGAAATGGAATTGGACATGGAAATTATTACTTAGCAAAGTGACAGGGAAGTGAGAGCCAGAGAAAAGACTGAGGCTGGGCTGACTTCGGCACAAAGAAATAAAAGGGCCCGGGTAGGCCCCAGGGACCCCCACTCTCCATGGGCCCAGGGTCTCCTGGCAGAGCAGGGTAGATCTTGGAACTCCCAGCAGGAAGGGGGACCCTTAGTGGGAACGGCCGTCCGGGGAGGACCCCACATGAGCAAAGGCCTGTGCAGTCTGTGACACCAGGTCCCGTACTCGGCTGTGGACTCTGGGTATCTGGAGGGAACTGCATTCATGGTCTGGCATCTGCAGGGAAAAGGGAGAAGGTAAGGACCCGTCTGGGAGTCGGGTGAGCCGGGCGGGGAGAATGGCTCACAGGCCTGCAGTCTGGGGAGCCCCAGGTTGGGGTGCACCCTGGTCTGCGGCATGACCTCACATCGGCTTGCACAGGGGTCTCCTGCACACCTGAACAGGTCTCCTGTGGAATAATTCTGTGTGCTGGGGGGTGGTATTTTCCCAGGGCAGCTGCCAAGCTTTCTGTGGTGTGACTGTCTGAACAGAGGTGGGGTTGGAGCTGGTTGTGTTTCTGTTCAGGACATGTCTGGCTCTTCTTTCCTTAAGACTATGAATGTGGCATGCGTGCACATGTGCCAGCCTTCGTGTCTTGGCCTGTGTGAGGCTGGTGGAACACCTGTGTGTCCCATGCTTTTGTACACAGAGGGTGCAAAGCATACATGAGTCTTTGCGTGTCTGTGTGCACACATGCTCGTTGCTACAGCCCTGTGCGTCTCCGGGTATGCACCCTTCTGTGTGCTTTTGTGTGCATGGCTGCCTTACCCTTTTTGTGCCTCTGTCTCTGCTCTCCTGTTTTCTGCTGCAAGTGTGAAGGCAAGTGTCTCTGCCGTGCCCACCTGTGCCCGTGTGTGCCCTGGCATGTGCGCCTCCATGGTGTGGGTGCCCGTGCATGCACTCCACCTGCAAGGGCCCTCCGAGCTTCTTGGGAACAGACACATTGCCCCCTAGCGCTCAGTCAGTTCAAAGTCCCTGGTAGCCAGACCTGGGAGCTGCCAGATCCTCAGGCAGGGTCTGCCTGGGGCCTCGGCTCCTCGCATCGTCCCCTGCCCCAGGGGAGCGGGAGACGGCACCAGTTGAAGGGACCTCAGGGGCAGGAAGAGCACAGCTGGACTGGAGCACCTGGGCTGGAGAGGGTGGCATGCTGGGCACTGTCTGGAATGGTCCCCAGACTGCTGGGGGGTGGGGAGCACCTCACCCAACCAAACGCAGGCAGCCAGCACCGAAGCCCTCCCCCGGGGCACACCATCTGCACCCTTGCCCATCAGGCCCACACCAACACACACACACACACACACACACACACACACACACACACACACCTCCACAGCGGGCCCACCGGCACACATCCCTGGGCACGGCGGCCCCTCCATGTCCAGCTCTGTCACGGGTTCCGTACCCGTGGTCCCATCTCGTGCTCACTGCAACCCCATGCATGAGTCAAGACTTTGAACCTGTTTTTCAGATAATGATGTGGAGCCTCAGAGCGGGCAGCAGGGCTGGGTTCCGATCTGCTGACACTGGGGCCCGGCTCCTAGCCACTGCCCAAGCCTCCTGAAGGTCATCGGCCCAGCTTGGGGCACCGTGAGTGCCTGTTTACTGCCACCGCTGTCGTTTTCGAGGGTGTGATGCAGATCTGTGTCATCTCCTCCCACGCAGCCATGAGAAACTAACCCCTCCCCTGAGCCAGTGGACTCTGGTCTTTCAGACCCAGGCTCAGTCTTGTCCTCACCACCTCAAAGCTGTGTAAACCTGGGTGAAATACATCCTTCTCTGAACCGGCCTCCCTCGTCAGAGGGGACATCAGAGACGGTTCATGCAGAGCATAAGGGTTGGGGCGGCGTTGCTAGAGTCGCACAGAGGATGGCACAGGGCAGGCATTCGTAAACTGCAGCCCCTCTGAGTACCATCGTTATTTCTTCAGCATTTGAACCCAGAGGTGCAGCAGTACGATGATCCCAGAGAGGCCTGATTTATGTGACAAACCAGCCTCACTCACGAGCCGAGCTGTGAGAGCAAGGCTGACTCCCTTTTCTGGTCACCTCAGTCTCCCAGTATCTGCCAGTGTAGACAGATGCAGACCCTGGTGACCGTCCCGGTGACACACGGTGCTGAAGCCTCAGAGAAACCCCTCAAGTGGCTGGGACAGAGGGGAAAGGAGCTAAGCGCAGGTCAGAACACAGGAAACCCTCATGGAGCCACAGGCTGCCAGTTGCTAAGCAACAGCATCCCCTCCTCCTCTCTGCACGTGACGCCTGATGTCTTCTGGGGTCGCTTTTCTACTATCTGTCCATTGAATGAACACATATTTCATGCCTACTGTGTGCCAGGGTTCAGTCTGGGAACTCAGGAGAAAAATGCAAAGTTCAGTCCCAGCCCTCACACCAGATCGAAGGAAATCCAGTAGTTGATTTGAAAATCACATCAATAAGGGACTAACACAGTGGTGTTGAGAGGGAGGAGAAATAGACAGGGGAATTCCCAAAGGTGGGTTTTGAAGGTAGAATAGGAGTTTGACAACCAGATATAGCCAAAGGACTTTCCAAGCAGAAAAATCAGGTTAAATGAGTTGTGGGAAG